GTGCTGACTGTTTGTTTGATGACAGGAGATACTTCGTCTTGTCCTCGTTTACCACCAGACCCATTCGCTTTGCTTTCTTATCCAACTTGGAAAAGGCAGAACAGACTTCGCGGTTTTTGATACCGATGACATCGATGTCATCGGCATAAGCCAGCAATTGCACGCTCTTGTAGTAAATTGTTCCTGAGCGGTTCAGTTCTGCAGCTCTTATCATCTTCTCCAATATCAGATTAAAGGAGTCACATGAAAGGCAGTCGCCCTGTCTGAAGCCCCGTTTGGTGGCGAACGGCTCGGACTTATAACTTGTTATATATATCAATTTAACGTTTAGGAGTTCTTGCTTCGATCCCCAGGTCTTCCGACTGGTGGTCCAAAACCTTTCGAAATGACTAGCCAAAACTTAACTTTATTTTCGCGCAATCTGTTTGCGATTTTGCGACCCTTTGCTCACAATAATGTTCCGTATTTATTAGTTAGTAGAAAGGTCGCCAAAACCATCACCATATAATGCTTCATGCTAAAAAAAATGGTATCCACTAAATGTTCTCGGCTTGAAACTTAAAAAGAGACACCCTAATGATTTTGTGAAGTTTAATCTAGCACTATGGTAACACAGCAATAGTAAAACAACCAACTAATTTTAGCCCTCCAGCAAGTATCACATTCACAAATTACCACACTTTAACGATTCACGTCTACTGCAGCAAGTTTCTCCCTTCAAAGAAACATCACAGGACAAAATTATGACTGACAGCTTAAGAAGCCACCTCAGGGCTAATTTACTTACAAATATTATCAACCACAAACCGATCATTGAAAATGAATACCCAACCAGCCTATCTGTGCATCAACAAATAAATACCCTTTTGCCAAACACTACAAAATCAAAACCAAAACAAACCAAATTCAAATCAAATGTTGTTGGGATGAAAAACTTTTTTTAATAGATTGTGATTACAAAGCGATGAAACAATGCCTGAAGCGATTCAATTTAAAATTGTTCCAGAACGCAACAGTGCGAAAGGAAAACATGCAACAACACAACAACAAGCAATGGGACTGGAATAGCAAAGAGCAAATGGCACAGCGCAGGCACACACAGAGCAAGAACAATGTGGAGTGGTATGTTGCCGAAAAAACACGCCGAAACGCTGCGACAACCAAAGTGACAAAAGTAGGCGCTATAGAAATTACACCCGCAGGCGTTGGAACACAACTGTGACACCACCCAGCAATGGCAACAACAACAGCAATAGTAAGGTAGTGCTTTTGTTTTTCTATTTTTGTTGTCACTTTGGCAGAACACGCGTACGTCTGCCTGACTGACTCGACTGACTGACTCAAAACATACGAGTGTAAGCAGCCGCTAGCCAAAAGCGCAATCACTGCCAGCAACAACAACAGCAACACATCGTACATTTGTTTGTGTGAAAGTCAAGCGTTGCGAATTGGTGTGATGTGGTGTGACAGTGATGTCGTTGATGATGTCCTTTGTGATGCCACTCAAGCGTATGTACATAGACAATACAAAGTTTTGTTGTCGAGTGAGACGAGGTGTATGGCAGGGCGAGCTGTAGATGCCAAACTTTTGGGCTTTTGTACTGTAGATCCAACGAAGCTGAAACTCCACAGGACATGCTGAGAGGGAATACATAAGAAGACTTTGGCTTTTTAATGCATGAGCCTGAAACGTTGAAACTTTTTTACAATAGGAAAAGAAAGGAGTTTGGGATAGGTACATATGTACATATATGAAATTTACTACTTGAGCATAGGATCTTTATATGACTACCCCTCCGAGTAAAAAGGATATACGACAAATACTAATCTGAACTCATTAACATCTCTCTCCATTCCTGCAAGGGGTGATTGGATGGTACGATGTAGCTAGGGAAAGAAAGCACTGGCATTTTTAATGGATCGGGCAAAGTTTGGTGGAGGGGTCTTCTGTCCTCATATCTGCATCACCATAATATTAGGTCTTCCAGATTGCTTTAGCGTCTTTCGGGCATAAGAGGCTGATTTCAATAAGGGAGATCCACTCCGGCTGATAGCTTAGTAACAATCATGACCGTTAACTCACTGATGGTGCGCTCAAATTTGACCTAGGAGTGCCTGATAACCTTCTCAATTGCGTCGGAATGTTTTCTTATAAGATTAATATTCGTACCAGATCACAGTGATCTTCCGGGTAACTGTTGATCAGTTGGTGAGACAGGGAACCCTTAAATTATATTTTCTGGCAGGGAGTGGCAGGAAACGCCACTGACTATCTGTTGTTTGCGGTCAGTTCTGCGTCCGTACGGATGTATCGAAGGCGGTCAAAATACAAGTCACTGTCTGATCAGAAATCACATCCTGTCTGCTGCAATTCTTTGGAAGATCATGAGGTAGAATATGTATAACGCTTTCTACTAAGCTATATAGCTTTAGCGAGGCCACGGTTTATCTATCTTGGCGCTTTATAACGGACCCTGACTAACCCTCTTGATACTAGCCGCCTTCATGACTTCGCAATCGGCTTGCAGCGTTTCATCAATGATTCAAAATCAATCAGCAGAGACAACTTCTATAATTCCCCAGTGTGTAGCCAACTGGGAACGACTGTTGTGCGTATGCAGTAATCTTGAAAACGAAAAGGACACTCCGAGAGATTTGAGTATATGACGTATACTATAGTCTGCCAATCTTATCGGGATAGGATCTCTAAAACATAATTTTACATTGCAGAACTGCTGAACTAGATTTATCGAGAGACAATTACAAACTTTACCAATTCTCTCCACGTGAGTGAGGTCGTTAAAGCTCAACCACCACCCATCGCAAGCGAAGAGCTTCAGCTGCCTCAAGAGACTCGTGTAACTCTGTCAGAATTACCGTCCACTCAGCGAATACTACTCTTCCTTTGGTCCGACCCCCGTCGAAGCAGGATGTTTCTTGGACCTAGCAATAATTGAGCTTGGTGACAGCGATTTCTAGGCCAAGTGAACTAGGCAGGCCTCAGTAGTGCCACGACAACAATTGCAACAACTACCTATTCTACTAAAGAGGGTAGTAAGGCAATTAAACGAAATTGTTTTCAGAGTGCAGGCTGCCAAACAGACAGCTAGATTTTTCTTTTTTTAGATATGGAATGTATAGAACAGTCACCTTAGTACATATTCAGGCCATATTAAAATCCTTCCCTTAAATGAAGGCCAGTAAGAGTTGTCACCCATCGACCCTGAAGATGTGAGAACAAGAAACCATTTAGAGCGCCTTTCATAGAAGCTATGAACGTTTAAGTGAAAGAAACGACACCAAATGGAAGAGTGGATCTGGGGACAATCTTATTGGAGATATGGAGGTTTAGTGTATGCAGATAAGATCGCGTTTATGCTCTAACGCTGTGCATTCAAAATATTTCTAAACTTATTAGTGTAAAATAAAGAAGGTGAGCGCAAAAAAATTGTCAATCACTATCTAATACCAAAATCCATTTCATTGAACCACAAAGAATTCAGATTAGCCAGCTTATATAAGCATCTAATGGTATAAAGTGCTATTATGCATACCCACCTTCCATGGCCCGATAAAAGCCAATCAACACACAAAGAGCCGACCCTCCTTTTAACAAACCTTCTAAATATTACAAATGTATATATTAAGGTGGTCCAAAAATGCATGTGCAAAACTAAAGTCGGAATTTTCACCCCAGTTTTTTATTTTGAAAAAAAATACTTACAGGTCGCTCAAACCGCTCAAAGTTTTCCATGTATTTTGTATCAGAAAAAAACACGTTTTCATAGAAATGGTATAGACTTCTTGAAAATTAATATTTTTATCGGAAAATCGGTTTTTCTTCAGGAGATTTACAATAATAATACCCAATTGTTTATTTAACAATTTTTTTACGTCTACTATATTTTATAGGTCCCCCAAAAACCCAAAAAAATGCTGTGGGGGGACCAATAAAAAATCGTAAGTATTTAGAAATGGTTAAATAAACAATTGGGTATTATTTTTGAAAAAAGTCTCTTGAATAGAAAGAGTTTTCCGATCGCAAAATAGTGATTTTCAAGAATTCGTTACCGTTTCTACGAAAAGTTGTTTTTCCCCATGACATTTTTTTTTTTTTTGATTCCAAAATAATAAAAAATAGATATATTTTTTCGATATAGAACAATCCGAGTGGGCGAGAGCAATGAAATTCCGACTTCACTTTTTGTGAACCACCCTAGTATACTCTATATGCATATGTGAATGTACGATTATAACCACCTTTTTACACCTCTATCTCGAAATGCATACATATTTAAGGTTTACATGGAAAACCCATGTTTCTGGTTATGATTACAATTTCTTTCAACCCGCCATTCATTCGTTCAAGCAAACATTTATTATTTGTTGTTATTGATTGTCGATTTGTTTAAATCGTACGCTTGAATGAGCTCATTGAAGCGAGTAGCCGAAGAAATTCATAAATTTACACGCATATTTACATACATTTGTATATGTAAATGTTTGAGAGCAAAAAGGCATTAATGCAAAGCATAGAAGGGTGGATGGATATGAACATTTCAGCATATTAATGTTGTGCAACTACCCTGTAGGACGATAAGAACTTGTTTGAAACTACTACTACTAAATGAAAACTACTAAATGAAATTCAATTCTCGACGCAAAGTTCAAAATCTTCCAGGGTGTAATCAAATTTGTGCCTGTTATGCATTTTGTACACATGAATAGGCAACGCCTTTTATGTGCGTGTTCATAAGGACTAATCGAATACACGAAATAATTTTCACACCTTCACGCTATCGTTTGACTAAAGATATGCTTTGACTTGCTATAAAACATTTGTATGTGTCGCTATTATTACCTGTAGTCGTCGATATATTTTGAAACTGCATGTACTTAACTTAGCAATACTACAACGTCATTTACACAAATACACAAAAATACGAGTATTCATAGTTAACTGGGTGTGAACCTGTAAATGGGTGTGTGTTACCGCAGGTGATAATAATTTTGGCTGGTAATTGGAAAAACTTGAAATATTGGCACTTAAAAGTTTTACGTAAAAGTTTCGAAGAGTAATTTACAGGGCAATTCTGGCAACTATCTTATAAGCTCCTGTACTGTCTTTCGAAAAACAAATTGAAAGATGTGCTAAGGAGGAGGTCTTTGCGCTATTCTGTTCACCTTTTAGCAATAATTTTTTTTTAATTATAATAAATTAAAAATATATTTTAATTTCTTTTAAAACAATAATAACTAGTGAATAAAATAAAATTAAATCAAAAAATAAAAACATATAAAATGAAAATAAAGCAGAAATTAATAAAAATATTTTTAATAATGAAATTAAAAAATAAGGAAAAATTAAAAATTAAATAAAGTTAAAAAATATTTTTATTTTTTAAACAAACTCTAAAAATTAAAAGCAAATTAATTTAAAAATGGAAAAAAAACTAAACAAATAAATCAAATAAGATCCTAAAAATTAAATGAAATAAAACAAATATATTTTTCTTTTTAAATTAGTAAAATATAAAAATTAAAAGAAAAAGATATTAACATGAGAAAACCCAATTACATTAAACAAAGAAGAAACAAACCAAACAAAATTCTAAAATTTGAATGAAATTAATTTTGTTTTTCTTTTTTAAACAACAAAATTTAAAAATTTAAAGAAAATGCCACTAAAAAAAAAACATACTAAAAGAAATAAAAATAAAATTAAACCCTAAAAGTTAAATGAAACAATTTCTTTTTTTAACAAAATAAACTACAAAAATTATAAGAACATTAAGAAATAATAAAAAATTTTGAAAGAAATAAAATAATATTCTAAAAATTAAATGAAATTTTAAAAATATTTTTTTTTTAATTAAACAATAAAACTAAAACATTACAAGAAAATTAAATCTAAATTAAAAAAAGTTCTGCTGCCCCACAACTTGAACTCGGATCTCTCGGATGGGACGCCCGTGATCCGCTCACTCGGCCATTAAGAATGTTCGAGCGACGTATAGTAGTTCAAACCTGGCAGTTAGTGTTCACAATTCACTGGAGCCTTCATTTTACACTCAATTTGATTTTTTTTTAGTGAAAGCTAATAAAATTTACAATTTTTTGGTGCAAAATGTAGAAAAAGTGGCAATTTCGAAGAAAATCGATTCTCTTGTTCCAGTCAATAAATATTACATAATAAAAACTAGTTGAAAACAATTGCAGAGTTCTCCCGAAACGAAAAAAATTTCACAAAACAAATTAGAAATGTTATAAAAAAAAATTTCAACAAAATTTAAAAAAAATTGTTTGAGTTTCTAAAAAAATTTTGGGTATGCAATTTTATAGATCATTGCATTTTAACTTTTCGAGACGCATGCTAAATGGAAAGTAAAAGCGTTTGTTATATTATTAAAAATCAACGCGAACTCTTAGCTACTTGGAACTTGCACTTTATTACATACATTAAAATTTAAATCTATAAAACTACATACTCAAAATTTTTTAAAAGCAAAAAAACAACATTTTGGTGAACACTTTTTTATAAAATTAACATTTTTTTTCAAATTATGTTTGTTTTGGCAGAGTCCAACAATTGTTGGTCTCCATTTTGAATGAAAATTTGTATGAAAATCTCACTTTGAAAAGCCCTTTACAGCAATTTTATTTTTTCTGAATATACTAAATGATTTAAAATTTCAACAGATGCACAGCTTTCTTGTTGCATTACGGTTAAAAAAAAATCAAATATGCACTATACTTACCCTGCGATTGCGAAGAGCTGTGTGAACCCCAAGAGGATTTGTACGAAGAATCTGTAAGAAAAAGAAATAATTTACTATAAAGAGGAGTCTCCAGTCAGAAGTAAAATTAGTAAGCATTTAGAATGTATTATAAGATGCCAGTATAAAAATAAATCTTTCCATCGTGTGCGAGACACTGAAACCTTTCGTGAAAAAAGTGATTGGAACTTTTCCGTGTGGCTTTAGTCCTGGCAAAACTACAAAAGGCCAGATTTTTCCACTAATGACAGAACGAAAAGACGACGACATGTCTATGTACAGGGATCCTCGAAGAAATAATACGGCTATGTCCCTGGGTGACATTGAGCACGACGAGAATATTTGGCGATTGGAAAGGTGCCAAATATATATAGCAAAATCAAGATGGTACTGGAGTATGAAGACAACATTGATGCCGTCGGTCACATTGCCAGAGTCGTGAGCGCAGAATTTACCCGTCCGAGAATGGGGAAAAATAATCGCACCACAAAAAGAGAAGAATAACTCTTGCCAACAGCTGATACTTTGGGCTCGGTTGGCATTTGAATAGAACGGCACCTTCTTGACGAACAAAAACGTGAACGAGGAATTTCATTTCTAGCCAAGGGTTTTAATGACCACACTATCATGCCGTAGGGGAATATTAATTTTACTACGCGTGCCAGTACTTGTCAGGAATATAATCTCCGTTCTCCGATACTCTGCGGACGATGTCACTATGGAAGCTTTTTCACTGGCGTAATTAAGACGATCCCCTCCGCAGGGTCTGGGTTCAGCCCGGTTCAACCCAACTTAAAAAAAATAAAAAAAGGTTTTTTCTAACAGCGGTCGCCGCTCGGCAGGCAATGGCAAACTTGCGAGTGTATTTCTTCCAGAAAAGCAGACTCTCATAAAAATACAATCGCCGTTCGCGAGTCGGCGCAAAACTTAAGGTCCCTCCCCTTTGTGTGGCAATATCAAGGCGCACGCCACAAGTTGGAGGAGAAGCTCGGCCAAACACTAACAAATGTGTAAGCGCCAATCTATTATTTTTATTATACCCGAGCGCACTTGTGCACAAGGGTATTATAACTTTGTTCACATAACGGTTGTTTGTAACAGGCAAAACGAATCGAGATAGATATAGACAAATGTATACATAAATGATCAGAATGAAAAGAGAAATCGATTAAGCGGTGACTGTCTGTCCGTCCGTCCGTCCGTCCGTCTGTGCACACGATAACTCGAGTAAAAATTGAGATATCTTAACGAAACTTGGTACGTGNGATCACATATATGTATCTCGGTAACCGTTCTAGCTATTTGTACCAAACTCGGTGTGGTTATTGTGCTTGCCACATAGAAGCAAAACGTTGAAAATAATTGAAATCGGACTAAAATTACGACCGCTTTTCATATAACGGTATATTTCAGAAATGCTTGAAACTGCAATATTTCGAAATTTAAGGATGCTAGTTTACTTCAAATTTATACACCCCGGCTTATCGTGTAGCGGTAGCTTTCGGAAAGGTGGAAAACATATATTTAATAATTGCGCCGGGTATTTAATGTTCGGCACCGCCCGAAATTAGACTGTCTTACTTGTTTTTGATTAGATTGATCCAAGATATTTGAATAACGATTCCGATTTTATTAAACTTTCCCCTGTTGTTAGCTCAACCTTTTTTTCTTGTTTGCGACTTTTAATGAGTACGACTTTCATTTGTAAGTTGCAAGTGTACGACACCTTGCACGTAGCCATTATCCGGCTATTATCCAACAAAGGTCGCAGCTACTGGTATCGTATTATCTAGAGTGGATTGGTGATCAAATTTCCGGTAGCTTTTGGGCTCTCTTCAAATATTTGGGCAAATTTGGTTTTGTAATCAAGTTTCATTTTTAGGGTCAGCTTTGAAGATATTTCTAACTGGACTGATTCAATCGCATTCAGCGAGAAATCATTCAGCAAACTTAAATTTGTGAAATCTTGCATGAAATCAACCATGACGCAACGTAGACTAACAAATATTTAAATTATTTCAATTCAAAGTTACGCCATTCTTGATATGAAAATTTGTGGCAATTAAAGGAAAAGTTTTTATTTGCTTGGCTCTTGAGCAAAAAGATAAGTTAAGCAAGCTTTAGAGAGTATCAAATTAGAATTTTAAATTTCCATCATGGCGAAAAGTTTGTAGATTTTTTATTTTAATAAATAAATTTTGATCTTTTTTTAATAAAACTTTCGTATTGTTTTCAACCAAAAGAAACAATGAAGGCTGTATGACGTCCCCTTAAGCTTTGCGCATGCCAAAATCTTTTCTCTATTTACACCGTAAATGCCAGTGAAAGAAGACGTATTCAGTCAGAGTCAAAAGTTAGCATGAATATTATAATTCATAATTATTTTTATGCAAATTTTTTTTATACATTTTTATGAATATAAATATAATTCATTCTATAACATAACCATGTAAAACAAAAATTAACACTTTATACAAATTTCACAAAAAAATCAAAACATTTTCATCAACATTTCAAACTTTTAATTCGGAATTGTTATAAAGTTTTCGAGTGTGCAATTTCGTAGCCAATTTAAAGTAGTTAGTAAAATAAGGGGCAAGTTAAGTAAACATAGGTTTCGATAATGCGTTATGGGCTACAAAACTGTAGACTCGAAAAATTTCTAAAACTTTGGAATAAAAAGTTGTAATTTTGATGCATTTTTTTTTAATTTTTGCTTCTTTTTTATGAAGTGTGAAACTTTAATTTATATGGTCTATTTTATAGAATGAACAATATTTTCATATTTCATGAATTTTTTTTATGAAAATAATTATGAATATTGTATTAAACCACTAACTAACTTTTTACTCTGACTGCATGTACATAAGTACATATATTTTATAAGTATTTTATTTCCAAAAAATATAGATTTTGTCTTAAGATACCCCAAGTGCAATTTTCTGTGAAATAATTCTCTAAAAATTGCATGCCTTTTAAAGACCTCAAAAACTAATTTTTACAGATTTGCAGAAAATGACCATCAGGAGATTGCGGGTTAAAATATGGTACAGAAATATTCCTCGTCGAACCTAATTATTTATGCTTGAATTTGACATTTCGCTCAGATAAAAATTTGTTCAGTCTTTTTTTTTATTTTTCCGAAAGTACTCAGATAAATGACACTGTGCGACAATGATATGGCAAACCAAGCCAGCCCGTAATTTGCTAATATTTTCTGAAAGTACACATATCCAGTAATAAAACATGCGATGGATTTGCAAAAGTTAGCTCTAATTTTTATTTATTAATTTATTTTTAAGTGTAAAAGTTAATAAAAATTAAAGTCTTAGCGAAATTACAGGTTAAGACATAGATAGTAAAATTGCATGGGAAATATTTTCGTAAAACATTTTAACCCATCAACTCCCGCCCGAAAGGGTCGTGTTGACCCTTACTTCATTTACGTGTTGAAATTTTGTTTCGCTCAGACATTTTTTGAACTTGAAAATAAATAAAAATGTTAACAAAGTCCGGGCTGGTGTCGGTTGCCGCACAGTGTAATTTAAAATTTAATTTTTGAGCTGTAAAAAATCAATTTCATCAACTAAAATACTGGCTCACAATAAATATGTAAAGTTTCTTCTTCACGAATAAAATTAAAATTAAAAATTTTCATAAATTTCTTTACACTCACCTGCGAATAACATTGAAAAATTGCTAAAACTTCCCGTCGAACGTGACAAATAATCAGCAGAGGTTTTAATGTCAAGCATCATGGCACCGTAGCGCGAATTGGCGGCGGCAATTTTTGCCTTATCTAACAAGCCGCCGACGGCCAAACTGCGCAAATGCACTTACAAGTTTGCAAAGTGCTTGCAGTTAATAGAAATCAGTACACTCTGCGTACACAAAAGTTTACTGTATACGCAGTTTTTTAATAAATGTTTCCTTTAAGTAACACACACGAATTCGCTTAATTGAAAGTTTATTACCGTAAATAAACACTTACGATTCAAATAAGCCGTGCAAAATCGGCGAGCATTGAAAAGTGCAAATCGGATGCGAGGCTTCAGCAAAAATTCGAAATGCATTCAAACGCATACACTTGTGTGCAATAAAAAAGCACTGTGACTGACATATGAAATCACGCGCTCACGTCCGAATCGTAACTATTTAAATCCTTCGAATGTTTCTGTGTGTTTGGGTAATTGTGCCTCGTTGGCGGTCACACCGGAAGGTAATAACACCGGAGACCAACAATTTTGTCGCCGAATGCGGCGCAGCTGCTGTTGCCGTTGCCGTTGCTTTTTTCTGCGCCTATACAGTCACACACACACACACTCACAAGCGTTCTGTCTGCTATGGGTGCTACGCATGTATATGTGTATGTGTTTATGTTTGTAAGCACGTAAGAACAATGCGCGCTTCAAAATGTTAGTTGAGTTGGCAAAAGAAGTGAATTGCCGTAACCGACACTCCTTCAATTTAATTTATTTTAAATGCTACGACGAGCAGTCACCATGCGGGAATAGATGTATCCACGTAAGCGCTCAAGTCCAAGCGTCGAAGAGGAGGCGTAAGCTTTAGCAGCCACACACATACACACACACATACGTACGTACGTACTTATATGCGCGCGTGCGAGCAAAGGCGCTGAAATGTTTTTGGTGCCTGGCGCTTAGGCACGCTGGCGTCGGCGGAACAGGAAAAGGAACGGGAAAAGTGACGATCGGAACCGGTTACCGTTACCGGACACCTCGACTTCCGGGCAACTTTGGTTGCTGCCAGCACCGTCCGTCGTCTGCGGCTACTCCAAACGCTCAGCTAATGCTTCGCAATAAATACTTATTTATTTGTAATATTTGAGTATGTTGCATCAACACTTGGAATACGTGCAGATTTATTTGTATGTATTTAAGTAGCGTGCTTGATTTGTCTTTTCCTTAAATGAGTGAGCGCTTACTAAACTTGTTCGCTGCTAAGTGTTTTTGCTTTGTCCAAAATGTCGCTTTTTAGCCTCTTAAAGTAGAAGTTTCATCTAAAAGTTT